GAGGAAGCCCCGCCAAGGCCCTCCCTGGCCCCAGGCAGGCAGGGGTGGGGAGAGACGGGGAGGAAGCAACTTACCCTCCCTCTTCTCCTGCCTCCTCCTGGCTGAATGAGGGCCGGAAGCGGGGCGGCCGGAAGCAGGGGGCTTCATCGTGTGCCCCGCCCCCCGCACCTCACCAGGGGGAATGGCGATCCCCTGCAATCCCCCCGAATGGACCTCTGCCTGTAGACCACATCCATTTCACTCATAAGATAGTCCGCCTTCATATCTGTCACTGGGGCCAGTGCTTCACTCATCATTTGCTTCAGATTCTCTCCTCTGCTCTCTGGAACACCCTGGAAGCGAAGGACCAGGTTTGCCTTCTCCATTTGTATTTGCAAAAGCTGTTCTTCTGTTGAAATTTGCTTTCCCCCCAATTTTAGCACTTTTTTCTTCACCTTTTGAGTAGTGGCATCAACCTCTTTCATCTTCTCAGCTGTTTGATCCATGATTTTAAGAGTCTCGTTGAATTGTGTTTGCTGAGTGGTGATACATTGATTCATTTTTGACAGCTGCTCCTTGAGGTTAGTCATCTGCTCCAGCAGGGGGCGCAGGGACTCTGCCATCGTTTTTGCCAGCTCAGTGTTTCCTTCCGGTTTTGGACTCTCAGCTGGTTTTGTTTTTGAAAGTTTCTCCTTCTCTGTCCTCTTCCCCGCCATCTTTATCGATTGTTTACTTTTGCTAAACTTTTAAAAGCCTCTGAATGTGCACTCATATGCTCGCACACGCCTTGGTAAGTCTTTCCAACAGTTTTTACCGCTTTCGCTCCCACCCCCAATCTCGCTTGTGAGTTTATGCGCATGGGAGGGGCTTTACTCTCTAGTCCACAGGGTGGGGGAGCTTTCTTCTTAACTCTTAACAAAATCACTCTAATCCGACTCACGTCCATACTCGGTCATCCAACCTCGGTTTGCTTTCGTTTTTAGCCGCTCGATCTCCTGCGCTTGTCCCAGTCAGCGTCACTGGTTCCTTGCGGACACTTGGCAGAGGAACCATGGGGACGGAGAAGCGCCTCGATTCCCCAGCATCGTGCTGGCGAAGAGGCGACCTCTCAAAAGTCCCTTGGCCAGGAGTCTTTCGCCAGACCCCCGGGGGGGTGCGATACATCGCCCCCTCTCCTTTCTGCCTGTGCACAGCTTCACCCCCAGGAGGTCTGACTGCTTAGCGTGCCGCCATAGACCGGAAGTCAGGGTTGGCAGATGTTTCCCACATTGAAACAGCTACTAATGGAGAGTCTGGAACATGAGTTAGCTGCCATCCACCCTGAACTGCAGGCCTCATGCCAGGGATGGAAATGAAGGGCACAACCCCTCCAACCCCCCCCTTCATATCCTCTGTACTCTTGTCCCAGCTTCTCGGTGGCTGTTGGGAGGAGAACAAGCAGACCACAGAGAAGAGAGATTAAACCCACCACCAGCTCCATGGCAGCCACCCAGGGAAAAAAGCAAGTTGGACACAGTGGAGTGCTGATGGTTTTACTCCACAGCCAGCTTGCTTTCCTCTGGGTGTCTTGGCCATCTCATCGTCTTGCCTAAGCTGCTGTGCCTCATGATGAGGAGAGAATGAGGGCAAAGAGCAAAAGCCCTTCCCCTCACTCCAGATCCCCCAAATTCAACAGCAGTGGGTAACAGCTACTCTACATGTTCAAAGGTACTCTGGTAATAAAAGGCTATAGTTATATATTTAATATTAATAGTGGTCTTATATTATTGTAGGCATGTACTTGGGGGGGTGACACATAAAGGGAATACAGTATTCATGTGGCTCTTTTGGTTGATGAAAATTGTGAATGTGTCTTTGTGTGATCTGTACACTAAGTACCACTGCAGTAAAATCACTGTATTCCTATGACAGGTTTTCTTCTTCTTTGCCACTAAGAAATCTTTGTAATACCTGTTCAATCTCAACGTCTTTTAAAATCTACAAGGTTACAATAGTATATATTTTAATTTATAAAACAATAGTATATTTTTCCTTCACTTACATAAATTGTAATGTACTATTTTATTACATTGTACAGTTCATATACAATAATAATTTGTAGGGCTAGCATGACCTTTCAAAACTGATCTGTATATCTAATTCTGAACATGGCTTCAGAATGTAGAACAAAAACCCCCATATCTTCTGCATTGCCATTTTTGCCACTCATTTTTCCCTATTGCTTTGAGTCTCCCACCCCCTTTCCACATGTGTTTTGCTTCCTCTGGGACTACTAGAGAGAGCAAAACAAATTGGGGGGAGGGGAACCCTGAAGCAATAGGGACAAATGACAATGCAGAAGAGCCCTATAAGGGGATCATTTAGAGACACTGGTGATGATTTCCAGGTTTCCAGAAAAATACTAAAACCTCTCATCCAACAGGAGGCTTGGTGAAGGGGGAAACAAGAGGAGAGAAAGTAGGGACTGGGGGGGGGGGGATGAGATTTTCCCACTTCTGCAATGCCCCACATATTACCCTTTGTAGCCACCCTCAAAAGTTAGAGGACAGCAGCTACTGAGACTATCCTTGCCAGGCTCTTTAACTCCCAAGGATGGATGAAAGGTGGAAACAGACCCGCCTTTGTAACCACCCTCTGGGGTTAGAGAGTGGCAGCTGCCCAGATTTTTCCAGCTGGTGGTCCTTTGACTCACAGGAAAGACCTTTTTGGCCATTCTTGGGCATGCCAAAATGCCCCATAACATTTTGTTACAGGTCCTCACTTGTACTACTACAGATTCCAATTGTTGATCTGGTTTCCTATCTACTTTTTTATATATATAGTAAAAGGTAAAGGTTTCCCTTGCTCGAAAGCCAGTTGAATCCAACTCTAGGGTTGCGGTGCTCATCTCTGTTTCCAAGCCGAAGAGCCAGCGCTGTCCGAAGACGTTTCTGTGGTCATGTGGCCGGCATAACTAAATGCCGAGGCACATGAAACTCTGGTACCTTCCCACCGAACTGGTACCTATTCATCTACTTGCAATTCCTTGCTTTCAAACTGCTAGGTTGGCAGGGGCTGGAACCAGAGATGGGAGCTCACTTTATCATGCGGAACTCGGGTCTCGAACTGCTGAACTACCAACCTTCCAGCCTGCAGTTCAACATCTTAACCACTGAGCCACTGCAGATATATATATATCATACTGCAAACGATCATCATAGTACTACTCAGCAATTCACATATTTTGCTAAAAAATTCCATTTCCATAAAGGAAAGAAAGGAAGGAAGGCCTTCATTTCCTCTCCTCGCACTGTTCCTTGGTAGTTTAGGTATTCATAACCATTAGGATGGCAGAAGGCCACAGTTAAAAGAGGTCCAGAAGGCCTATTAGCATTCATGCCTGTGGGTTTTCTGAAGCCTGACCTCACAAACTCTCCAAACAGTGTTTCCTCTATCTTGGGGGAGGAGGGAATGCTCTTGAAGTACTAAAATGTCTGAATATAGCCTCATTTTTCCTAGTTCATTCTTTTCAAAGGAAAAGTAAAACAGGTCTTACCATAATTGAACTGACTGTTTGACTTTTCACAGTTGATTATATTAAATCGGTAAGCAATGCCTGTCCTCATTCCACTGACTTCGAAGTAAAACCACTGGTGATAATGGTTGCTGTTTATATCAGCATTCAGGATAAGATCATACTCATTTCTAAAGATAAGTAGAAACAAAAGTCTTAAAATTAAGAGAACCCAGAATGCAGAAATTGAATAGAAGTGACAACAGAATCTTACTTTCTGATCTGAATGACTTTGCGCAAGTTCCCTGATTCAAATTTAGAATTAAACTTCAAAATGTCTCCTTCATCTGGCACCATGTAGCTGAAAGACATTGCAAGGAAAACAGAATCACCATTATAAGTAACTCAGCAATAATCTTACTAGCAGACTTTAAAACCTCCTGAGTACATACCATCAGTTTGGGATTAAAAATTATCTAGTTCATCCAATCAATAGTTACAGATTTCAGTTATACATATCACTTATCAGTAATTCAGGGGTAAATGATTTGAACACTGTAGCTGAAATATCTATGCCATCATACAGCGTAAACACGAATATTTACTTTCCCCTGGATGTTATTTTCATTTTCCTGTGCCAGAAGCTGATTATTTTATTGTTGGTTTATATTTATATCATATTTAAAATGTTAATAGTTGAATTGTTTCTCCCCCAAAGGAGGGGGGAGGGCGAGGAGGAGGAGATTGGATTTATACCCTGCCCTTCACTACCCAAAGGAGCGGCTTACAATCCCTTTCCATTCCTCGCCCCACAACAGACACTCTGTGAGGTAGGTGGGGCTGAGACAGCTCTCTCTCGAACTGCCTTTGAGAGAACAGCTCTGAAAGAACTTCTGACTGACCCAAGGTCACACCAGCAGCTGCATGTGGAGGAGTGGGGAATCAAACCTGGCTCTCGCATATCAGAGTCCACGCTCTTAACCACTACACCAAACTGACTCTCCATTAGTTTCTAGTTTCCACTAGGTTCTTTTTTTTTTTTTTTTTTTTTTTTTTTTTTTTTTTTTTTTTTTTTGGTAAACAAATTTTATTTTCTCAGGAATACAACATATAAAACATTTCATTCTATCAATTGTCTACCCCATTCCCAGTTCCTCCCCTCCCTCCAATGGCTTCCCACAATGCTTCCACCCCTGCTCCAAATTACTTCATATCATCAACAATATCAGTTTTTCATCATTACAATCTAAAGATAACATCATTTGACTTAATATTGATCTAAACATATTAAGTTTTGTTTCACATCCCAGTTCTTTTCCAGATAAATTTTAAAATCATTCCATTCTCCAAAAAACTCATCGTCTTCTTTGTTATTCAGTTTTTTGTAATCTTATCCATTTGTGCCATGAACAGAACTTTTTGTATCCATTCTTCAACCTCTGGTACCTTTTCCGTCTTCCAAAACTGAGCATAAATCATTCTCGCTGTCACTATCAGGTACCAGAGTAAAGTTTTTTTAGTCGTATTGACTTCTTCCATTTTGAGTCCCAAAAGCAGAATTTCCGGTGCTTTTTTAAAAGAACATTTCAGTATTTTTTGCATTTCATTGTGGACCTTTGTCCAAAAGTCTACAGCTTTCTCACAAGTCCACCACATATGATAAAATGAGCCCTCATGCCTCTTACATTTCCAGCATTTGTTTGACATATTTTGATTC